GAAGTACCCCTGGGATCTCATCCGGTCCAGGTGACTTGGCTGGATCCAACTTGTTTATTTTAGCTTTTCGTCTAGCATGTATTGCATTATTTTAGTTTTAGTTCATTTTATTTCCCTTTTTGGCGGTTAATTATGGGCTTAGAAACTATCTCTTTAGCAATTCTGTAATTTCTATACAGTCGACGATTGTGTCCAATTAGGCAATACTGGTTCTTCTTATTTCCTATTGGTTGTACTTCTTATTTTGCTTATAGCGCGCACATTTTTGGTTATTTAAATATGCATTGATAACTATTATTTCCTGCTTTTCTACTTTTTACTTTTTAATCCCTTTTTTCTTTCCCCTAATATGCCACAACCTTTTAACTCTTTTTACCACCTGGCCCTATTGCAATAGGATGAGGTTTTCGCGTGCTGTAGTGGACCCTAAATACAACTTTTACCGCCTCTGTAAACAACACGCAGGATATGCGTGGGTATTGCTACTGCCGCCTATGAGACTACTAGTTTTGGCGATTATCGATTTTATCGGTACGTTAAGGTTGTGTGCGCGAAACTTCTGTCCAGCTAGGCTGTTACGCTTAACGGTTAGGTGTTCAATACCTTCTTTTCAGAGAGTTTGCAGCTGCCACCCTGTTATTCGTGTTCCTGGTTTTAGCTGTGCCCGTCATAACCAGACCATGGGCACGTCTGCTGGGGGAGCTAATGTGTGCTACGTGCCCCCGTCGCCTCCACAGCCGCTGCAATTTCCTTGTGTCACCGAGACCAGCCTGTCTGCTCCCACCACAACCTCGACTGCCTCGACTGCAAACGCCGAGTTTGACACCGCGGCCCTCCTTCGTGCATGGTATGAGGCGGGTTATGCCATGGGCCAAGCACATGCTGAGCAGGTACCTCCCTTATCCTGTGATTATTATATTCCTGTTGCATTTCATTTGAAGAATAAATTGGCGAGCATACGATCGCTTTCGGTCAATTCTCTTAAGGCCGGTAATTAACCTAATAAACTATGCGGACTGGTAGAAAAAGTTGTGCGGTTATCCGGGGGTGGTAGGGGGCCAATAATCTGATTAGCACTTGCTGATGAACTTTCACCGACCACTAACGGAACTCACTTGTCTCGCTCCGTCATTGTCTTGGGCCTCATTTCCCGGATCCTGACGGCAGCCGTAGCAGCTAGTAGCCTAGGCAGATAGTATTGTCGGCACAGATAAGGGAACGGGCTGGAATGGCCATTTCTGGCTTATTAGCCGTTTGTAGCTAGCCGTATGCTGTGGTGAACGACCTGAGCCTCAAACTCGCCACCTTTTGATCAGAGTCTATCACCCTGACCACACAGCTACCAGCTCACTGTCTTGCCGGCTTAGGCTGGGAGACATTGACACTCCCGTTCCAGTCTCCCTCGTCTTTGTCGGAAATACTATCAGCCCATAGTACTAATCTGCTCAGCGACAGCGGAGCTTTGCGGCCCACAGAGGTGATGAGCTGCGTGAGATCGGGTTAGCGACTTTCGCTCATGGTAACTGCTGCGTCGTTACAAAGTTCTTTTGAGCGCACAGGACCGGTCTGCGTAGCCTGATGGCAGCCGTTTCTGCCGCTGTCCAAGGAATTTTGAATGGCTCGGGGGCACCTTGTAGATCGCTTGGAAGGCCTCTCTGGCATCTACGCGGTGGCTTGAGTCTACCATGTGCGCTTGAATGGAACTGTTCATACCCTTTAGTTGTCTCTGCTCTAACCATGCTGAAAGATGTTCTCGTACTCTTTTTTTTCACAGGAACATAATTTATTTAGTTAATTACGATATAACTGTACAGGCCTGAAAAGAATGTGTCGAAAGCAAACTTATGCTCGCCAATTTATCTCGTGGCACTTCATTTTTTGAGGAATACTAACCAAGGCCTTGCAAAAGACCGCTCCTGCGGTGAAATGCGTGCAACGAACTGTTATTGTTATTTCTGACAGTTGCCAACCTTCTCTTCTTTACAGAAGTCTTGACCACCTAACCGCGGCTCGTGTTAGAGGTTTCCAATAAGTGCTTAACGTAATGCTCGCTCCAGATGTGACAATAGAACTTCCTCCTCGGGCGACTTCATTACACTAAGAACACTGAACAAATAAAAATTCTGTTTTCTCTTGATTTGTTTGATGTCCCAGCTTGGTGCGCTTTTTGAATATGGCTGAACTTATGTACTTGAAGTTGGAGCGGATCTATCACAGGGTGTTAAGTTAATAGGGAAAACCCTAGCAACTGCGATCTTCGGGCCCGGTTCCTCGCGACAAGAGAAAAGGCGGGACGCCAAAGTGAAAGGAATAGTTTATTCTGTACAGAACAGGTGGGGAATAGATAAGAGGAAGTGGACTGTCGGACTAGTGCACATCCGGCCGCGAAGGGGGACCGGTCCGAAGTAAAGTCAGCGCCTAGAACGGTCTTTGTGTAAGTCGGCCTTGAAAGATGATTGGCCAGATGGATTGGCGTAGGCGGCCAGCGCATGTGCACCCGTTGGCAGCGGAGAACGGTCGCCCGTATTCAAGTGAGTCACGCAGATTCGATGAAATGTGCGGTCAATGGAGTCTTGCCAACGCAAATGCTCATTACATTTTTTTCGCACAGATGCATGTAGAGGCTCTCCATTACAGTAAAGCGATCTACCGGGATGCTAAGGTGAAACACTGTGGCCAGTTAAAGCATATTTTCGTGTCTTCGCGGTGTCTTCGCGGCCCAAAATCAGTTATAATAGTGTATAAG